CTTCTAAAGCAATTATTTGCTAGTGATGAAACTTTAGAGATTTATCCTTGTCAATCAGTGTTTCTGGTAGAAATTTTGATGACTTTTAGACGACCCTTGTCCATTATAAAATCCCATCAATAATTACGAAAATAATCGTTAAATGGAAATTAAATTTTGTATGGTGATAGACCCGGTTATTGCCAACTTGACTGTGTGTACATAATTTATCCGATTCCGATACACATCTCCTATTAACCTAAGAGAGTCAATTGTTGGATATCGTTCAATTGTGATCAAAGGCTATAGCAATACTTCAATTGTTATGGTATATACGTTCTTACCTTCCATAGTTTAGCAAGATGTTTCTTTACAAGTTAAATTTACTTCTACTATGGAAAATATAATTTTTAGAATTACAATTTTTTCTTGGATATCTAAATTTATCAGCCATCCTACTTTTGCTGCCTTATAATCAACTCCACGAAAATATAGGAGTTGATCATCCAGATAGCAAAAAAAATAGCGAAATTTTATGAAAAATAATGGGAATGGCGTCATAAAAATAATGTATTGCCTCTTAAGGTTCTCTTCGATTTCATATGGGAAAGCGGAGAGGTACCTCAGGACTGTTGCAACGCGAATATAGTGAATATATTTAAGAATAAAAGAAGTGCATCAGACTGCGGAAATTATTATTGGCTAACGGAGGAAAAATTCTTGCAAAAATTATATCAAACTGCCTGCACCCACATATAGAAAAAATACTTCCAGAATCGCAAACACGTTTTCGCACCAACCTCGGCACCGTCGATTTCATATTTTCCATTCGCCAACTACAGGAAAAAGTAAAAGAGCAGCAGTCTAAACTTTATGTTGCATTCATCGACCTAACAAAAGCCTTCGACTCTGTGAACAGAGATGCACTTTGGGCAATTATGAAAAAGTTCGGAGTACCCAACAAATTCCTTACAGAGTGTAAAAGCCTCCATAACAACAACGAGTCAAGAGTGTCACATCATGGATCACTGAGCGATCCCTTGCTAACAAATACAGAAGTTAGGCAGGGATGTGTCTTAGCAGCGCCTCTCCTATTCGACATATTCATGGTAGCGCTCTCCATTATAGTGGATAGCAAACTGCAGGAGAGAGAAATGGACATTAGATATAGATACGACGGCGGTCTGTTCAACATAAAAAGACTCAGGGTAAAAACACGTACAAAATTCATCACAGAACTTCAATACGCTGATGACAGCGCTCTAGTTGCAAAAACGTTACAACAATTACAAGAAGTGTTGAACACATATACCTAGGCATACGAGACTTTGAATTAGCAGCGCCGCAAGAGCATTCTGGAAATTAAAAGACAGGGTTTTCTACAATCATGACTTGGGTACAAAAACGAAACTTGCAGTGTACTGAGCAACTATAATCCCCACCATGTTATATGGGACCGAAAACTGGGTACCGTACCGCCGACACATGAATGCAGTAAAGAAGTTGCAACATATACACCTTAGGCAACTCTTAAAAATCCGATGGTTCCATCGTGTCTCAAACGTATCGGTCCTTGAAAAAGCTAACTGTAAGAGTATTGAAGTCGTGGTTACAAAATCCCGCTTAAGATGGGCTGGTCACGTATGCAGAATGCAAGAAAACCGCATACCAAAATCTCTGCTTTACGGTGAGATTGTTGACGGTAAGAGGAGGGCGGGTGGACAACTCAAAAGGTACAAGGACATTTTCCACGAAAACTTAAAGGGGATTAATATGCAGAATGAGTGGGAAGACGCAACTCATAATAGAACTCGATGGAGAAGAACTGTGAACTCGAACAACGACAACCAAAAAGTAAAGTGGCAATAAAGCAATGAGATTTTTGAATGTCCGGAGTGCGGTAGGCAGATAACATCACGTATCGGGCTTTTCAGTCACAGAAAAGCTCATGAAAGAAAACGCCTTGTGTGACCATCTTCCGATGCGTGTTAAATACTCGTTAGCGAGTAATGGCAGTAGTATAGTATTGCCTCTATGTTTTAAAATGTTTAAAAAGGTAATTAATGATGTGTCCACAAAACGGGGTAAATGACCATCAACTAGAGCAATTACCCTCCTTAAAAATTTATTTGTCTATCATCAAAAATGTAGAAATAGTAACACATAGTACTACGAGAACGTACAAAAACGTAAACATTGCTCAAGTACATTATTGTTGCAGAACCACAGACAATAGTTAATTTATGATTATTTTAAAAATATTTGGCAATGCCATAGTATAGTTTGAGTTAAATGTGGTTGAAATTTATGTTGTCAGTTTCACATTTAACTTGTCTGTGATTAAATATTTTTAAAAATACTCAAAGAAGTCAACAATTCTCACACTACTCTTAAGTAATATAATTTTTAACATGGTTAATTATTTAAATTAATTTTGTTTAACATGTTTTTGTTATATTGGATTATACGCTTTTGTTCACGTATGTATGCTAATGGTAACAGCAGAAATAAAACACAATATTATATGAAAAAGAAAATAAAAATCTTTGAATATTTTTGTTGTTGGTTCTCCCAAACAACTTTTATTGTAATATTTTATATATATTTTGAAAAATCACACTATACAGTTTGTTCTGTATACGAAATAATATGCTTAATTTATGCCTATTATATGCATAAGTCCTTTATTTCGAATTTGGTAGAATGCACACTTGTAATTATTTTAAGTATGTACATTAAGAATTTCTGAGAAATTTAAAATTGAATTTTTTCAACATGGGTCCTTATTTATTTAACATGTTGTATAATTAATGTCTTCTAATTTAATTGAAAATATCTTATTAATAATGAATTATCTTATTATACAGGGTTGTTCACCACATACGACACGGAGTATTGTAGGTAAATGATTAGATTTTTATAAATTGTAAGTTTTGGGTTCGTTGAAGGACTATTAGAGCTATAATTTAAAAATATTTTTACAAAATACAGAGTGTCCCAAATAAATAAAAAATATCAAAGTTGTATTTTTTTAAATGGAATACCCTGTTTATTATTACATTTTTAGTTTTTACGATTAAAATAAAGGTAAATTTGATTAAGGTTTATTACACTTATAAAATAAATTATATAAAAAAATATTTTCAATTTTGTGAAATTGCAGTAAAAATTTTAAGGCTTCATTTCTCCAAGGGTACCAAAGTTTTTAATACTAAATATTTACTGAAGTCTATTTATTGATCAGTTTTTGTGTTGCAATAATAAAAATAATACTATCTCATACAGAGTGTATAAAAATTTATTTTAAAATATTTCTAGTTTTAAACGGAATAACTTGTTTAATTTAAATAGACCGCCCTGTATATTTTAGAAGAATCAGATGAACAATTTAATTGTCCATCAAATTGTATTATACCACTTTTTACCTATCCCTTCACGTTTTCGTAGAAAATGCATTTTCTTATAATTTAGACCTCATTTATCAATATACCCATGGAATATTGACATTTCAGATTGTTTTTAAAGCAACAAATGTACAAAATATACAGGCTAGTAATATTATCGTTTTTAGCAAAATGATAATATTACTAGCCTATTTGTATGCAAAAAGAAAACTATTTAAATCTTTATAAAAAATATACCATTAATTAAATATACCACCATTATTTCCGTCCAAATACTAATTAATTACATACTAATTATGTTCGTTAATAAATTATTCTAAATAAATGTGGATTTGAATCAGAAATCAATATAATAATAAGTTATGTAAATGAATGCCTCTGTTGTTATAAATAGGTATTTGTCAAAAAATTAAATAACATTTTTAAGGTGTTACTTTTTACTACACCGTCTAATACACATACAAAATTCAGTTTTTTTTTTGAATACTGGAACAATTGTAATTGGTCCTCTTTAACAAATATTTAAACAGTTTTTTTTTAAATGAAATAAACAAACTATATCGACAATATTAGTATCTGTACTCTTTAAAAATTTGGTACATCTGTAAAAATAATCTAATATGTCAGTATTCCATGGGTATATTGATAAATGAGTTTTAAATTACAAGAAAATGCATTTTCTACGGAAACTTGAAGAGATACGTAAAAATGGTATAAAACAATTTGATAGACAATTAAATTGTGCATCTGATTCTCATAGCATATATAGGGTGTTCCATTTAAATTAAACAAGTTATTGCCGTTTAAAGCTAGTAATTATTTAAAATAAAATTTTAGACACTCTGTATAAGGTAGTATAATTTTTATTATTGCAACACAATAACTGATCAATAAATAAACTTCAGTAAATATTTAGTATTAAAAACTTTGATACCCTTGGAGAAATGAAGCCTTAAAATGTTGACTGCAATTTCACAAAATTGCAAATATTTCAAAAACGGTAAGGTTTAAGTGTAATAAACCTTTATCAAATTTACCTTTATTTTAATCGTAGAAACTAAAAATGTAATAATATACAGGGTGTTCCATTTAAAAAAAACTACAACTTTGATATTTTTTATTTATTTGGGACACTGGGTATCTTGTAAAAATATTTTTAAATTGTAGCTCTAATAGTCCTTCAACGAACCCAAAACTTACAATTTGTAAAAATCTAATCGTTTAGCTACAATACTCCGTGTCGTATGTGGTGAACAACCCTGTATATGATTAAGTATAAGATGTGTTATGATTATAAAAATATATTTATATAATATAAGAATACAGGGTGAGTCTTAAATAAGTGCAAATATTTCCAGGGCTGGTGGGTCTCGATAAAAGAAATTTCTTTTGTATTTTTTGTTTCAAAGTCCAAACTGGCCAAGTTATTTTACGCTGAAAATAAAAAAAAAAAATTTTTTGCTTAAATTTTGAGAACCACTGTATTGTTTCTAAAAATATTTGCACTTATTTAAGACGCACTCTGTATAATTAAACTATAAGAAAACTGTTTAAGTTTTCTTTTTCGTAACGTGATCTATTATTAGGAATAAATGGTAAACTCGTAAAAATACTTACCGCAAAAATTAAATTAAAAACAAATAGAACGTATTTTATAAAACTCATTCCACAAGTATCCATTTTGATAATGAGAGTGAACACTGTTAGACCATAAAAAATATAAACTAGGTGCGTCGCCGCTACCCTATTTTCAAACTAAAGTGTCGATTTGCGTGATACAAACTGACTTTGTAGATAGTTTTCCGCGGGCTCAACACTTCACTAGAACAAATTAGAACACGCGTTGCCAATACTACTGAAAATATATCTGCTAATTTTATGTTCAACAACAATAAAAAATAGAGAGGGTCAAATTATAATTAAATATCTGAAATAAGCAATAATTAGTTAGAAGAATTAGTTAGGCAACAGAATTTTATTCATTTTTAAATCTTAAAAAAGTTTTCTTCTAATTTTAACTTTATTTAGCTTAGTTTCTTGAACTGTAATATTTATAAATTATATTTCAGAAATTCTTGGGTGTGCAGTTAGCTTTGTTTATCTAATAGACAATTATACAGAGTGGTGCACTTCATTCGCCTCGGTTGATTATACGAAAAAAAAAATTGTGATGTGGAGACTGGAGAGGAAATGTGCATAATTAAAAATTATTTTCAAATGTACAGGTTGTGTCAGAACCAAACCAAACCAAAGTTATATTTTTTCTTATGGAATACCCGGTATTTTATTTCATTTTTGGATTTTTGGTTATAAAATAAGGCATTTGTCATAACGGTTTAATATGTTTTAATGCTTTGGTTTTTGAGATATTTAAAGGTATTTAAATATGCATGCTATAATAAAAAAAATTGTCAACACCTTGTACATTACTATTCAGAATTAATTCTTGTGCTGAATCTTAAGCCTTAGAAATGGACTTTACGAAAAAAGTTGATTGCTTCTTTAAATATATACAGGGGTATCAAAAATTGCTGGTCTGTTTTAAATATTTATTTTACATAAAAACTTCGTTATTTCAAATGCAACACTACGTATTTTTTAAAGTCGAAGCACATTTAAATGCTCTTTCAAACTGTGTTAGAGATTCCTATACCGATCTGGCTCAGATTTTGAATAAAAAGCGATTTTTCAATAAAATGGTAATCAAGAGGGCTGCTGTCGCCATGGCAATTTTCTAGCGACAGTTAGTAGCTATTCTCAAAATCGACATTAGTTTATGGACTTCATTTAAACTTACAATATTTTACTTTTATTTAATTTACCTACAATAGTTAATATACAGGGTCCGAATTGTATTCCGGAAACTTTCGCAGCATATTCTGCAGATAAAAATACATAAAAATGTTCGTATAAATGTATGTTCTAAAATCCTTACTTTCGGAGGTATAGGGTGTAGTTAGTACAAAGTTCTATTTTTATTTCGATTTTTCCAAATAATTTCTGAAGTAGGTAACGTCAATATTTGGATGAAAATTGGTTTTTGGAAATTTTTTCACATGAGAAATTTGATTTTGATGTCAATATGACTTCTACATGTAGAGGGCGCCACATACATATTTTTTAACTGGTTTGAAGACTAATAACTTTTCGTCCGTACCTGTATAAAACTACAAAGTGAAAAAATGTACTTTTCAGACAAAAGTTCGTCGCGAGTCTGACACTAGGCTTATTCTTGTTTCATCACTAAACGTGACGAAATTCCAATTAGGTCCATTTGCTCTCCTCTCCTCAGGCCATTGTAGTCGCGTAATTTTCTGCTGTAAATTAAGCTTCGTTAAGGAACACGTAGAGGCCTCTTTAAATGTAATCTTCTGTCATGGAGTCTTCTTACTATAGTCTTTCTTGAAACATTTACTCCTTCAAGGCGAGCTAACTCATTTTTAATAGGAATTACTAGAAAGCAGGGGATTGCGTCGTGCAATTAGGGATATTTGACGGTCTTGCACAGCAGTAGTAACTCTCTTTCTACCTCTTCCAGGCCGGTCTGTATCCTCGTTTGTCTCCCTGAATTTTTTTAATATTCGCGAAACATTGCTTTGGTTAACTCCTTTAATTTCAGCTATTGCAACTTGCCGGTAGCCCTGTTGAGACGGTGTTACTTTTCTGACTATTAAACTGTGAGAGATAATGTTTCTAGGCATTTTAAGGCCAAAATAATGGTCAAAATTCTTCTGAACCTCCAGAGACCACAAATCGAAATTTGCAAGAATTTGTAATAGGTAATATTTGGTCTGAACGATAAACCTTCTTTACCATATCTATTTTAACAAAAAAATGTTTATTACAGATTATCAAAGTTATGTATAAAAAAAATTCTTTAAATTCCTTACCGTATATTTTTAAACGATATATGCAATAATTTTCGCCATGTGTGTATATTATATAATGGAAATTCCAACTGTTAAGTATTGATATTGTTAACTTTAGAAATTCGTCATATTGAAGTTTAAATTCCTCTTTACGTCGCCATATTGAAAAATAATACCAATTCCGTATAAAAAATGATTTTGTACGCACTAAATAATTATGATTTTATTAAATATATAATTCAAAATAATTACAGAAATATACTTATTTTTGTAACAAATCGGCAACATTGTCTAAATAACCCCATGGAATGGGGTGTGGGGTAGTAAAAATTCCAGCACACACACATCATTAACGATTCCACATATAACATCATTCTTGCTTTTTCATTGGCGATAGGAATGAGTAAAACATTTCCCGTTGCCATGGAATCCTTTACCCTACATTTTTTAAATGAAGGAATTAGTGGAAATGGGCAGAAGGTTACTTATATAATCATTACCAAGAATTTTAAACAAGTCAAATAAAAACCCATTAGATATAGTTTTTAATTTAATATATGATTAATATCTGATTATTTTTTAATGTGTTTAATCATTATTTTTAATATGAAATAATAATAATATTATTGGACTGACATTGTCGTGTTTTTGAAACTTTTAGATTTTTAGATTTGTACGTTAAGTCTCTTGTTATATTTTTCTGATGTTCCTTGACTCGATTCCGTAAGGGTTTGTTTGCCAAGTTTCTTACTGTGTTTAGCATTGAGTGTTGTGTGTAGATAGATACAGGTATTGTCTACTTAGTGAAAAATGAGGACAAGGGCATAGTTCATCTGTTCAGAAAATATTGCTGGAATTTCTAGGGCCATGATGAAATATTTCATTTATTTTAAGAGGATAGAATTTAAAGAAGATATCTTAAAATTTTGACTACTTACTCATTAGGACCTTGCTCATCTCCTACAGTTACTAGTGATGTAAACTTTAGTTACTTTTATGGACTTGTAACTACTAGTTAATTTTGGTAATAGGACTCGTTACTTTGGACTCGTTACTTTAGTTACTTTAGTTACTCGTTATTTTGGTACTTAGCGTCGTTACTTTATAATCGTTGTTTTGTGTACAGGTTAGAAGACTTGGGTTTGCTCGGTTTGAGAATGCTCGGTTTAACCTATAAGGGGTTTCTACTTTCTTCTAGTGTAAGGGCTTAATAGGATAATTTCAATACTCGGTATTCAAGTACTGAATAATATGTTTTTAATAATATGTATACTATTTTAATAATGATAATGATATGTTATAATAAAACTATGTACTATTAATAAAATTTAAAATAAAAGAAAACAAATCAAATAAAGAAAATATGTGTATAATAAATATAAAGTAAATAGGCAAACATTAAAGAGTAAAAATAAAAAAAATGTATATATTTTTGTTAAAATGTAAAAATATTAAAAAAATGTATATTCCTCTGTGGCGGATTCATCTCTTCAAAAAAGTTATTTGGATTAACGCCACAGCAGTGTTTACTAAAAATTACTATTTTTATTTTGTAGATTTTCTTACAGTGTAAGTGGCTAAATATCTATTCTCTTTTGAAGAAGAAAAATATTTGCTCTGCTTTTTCAGATGTTAACATTTTTTGTAACTAACGTGAATCCATTTTTAACTAATATCTAAGACATGTTAATCTAAATAAACAATTCTATTCTATAAATAAAAAGCGACAACAAACGGCAAAGGGACAAACCACCTCCGGGTCGGCATGAGCCAATCATAATAATTGTAATAAAAATATCACACATTTGCCATCCAAAACACCGGCCGGCGTCAAGTCAACACTTTAAACATAAACATATTGATAACAACTAGACCTACGTCGAAGCAAGTCGAAGTAAGGAATATTTCAGTATCGAGTTTCGAGTCCTCGGTTCGTGCATTTCCAGGGATTACGATTACTGCCGGCGCAAAAGTATTAAATTAGCTTAGTAACGAGTCCTAAATTCAAATAGTAAGCGTTACTTCGAGTCCTCGTAAAGTAACTGTTACTTTGTAATGATTACTTAGAATTTTTACATCACTAACAGTTACAGGTGTTCTTTAACCATTACTTGTTTTCGGGCGTTTGCAACCTCCATCCCAGGGTCAGGATCCTCTTTTGAGCCAGGCTTTGCATCTGTCTGCTGAGGATTCTTAAATTTTCAAAAGTTTACTTTTCATTCAGAACATCAAAATTAGTGGTTTCAATTAGCGTAGAAGTTTGTTTCTCTAACTTCAATGTAAGCATTCAGAACGTAAAAATTAGTGGTAGTAATTTTCAATTAGTAGAAAAAGTTTAGTTAACAAACCTTTAACTTTTTCTGCTAATTATAATTCAAAATTTGTGAGTAATATCATTTTGACTTTTTATTATCATCGGTCATGAGACATTGGTGGTTATAAATAAAAAAGTTGATTTTTTTATAAGCTAATTATTAGGCTTTCTCTATGGATACAACTGACTATCGCAAATTGCTGCTAAGATATTCTATTAATTTTAACTTTATTTTTTAAACACTGTGAATGCTCGTAAATTTTTAAATATTAAGCGTAAATAAAACCACTAATTTTTTCCACTAATTTTGTTCTGAATGAGGCTTTTTATTCCAAGTGATTTTTAAAATACAACAATTTTTTAATTAAATTTTCTACACATTTTAAGCTCTGGAAAATATTAAATCGCAATATTATGCTCTCTAAGTGAAAGTATTCTATGATAGGGCCTTCTTTAAATCTAATTATTTTAATAAATAATTTTTCAAATAAGCTAAGTTGTTTCGTACATGGTTGTAGGGTAAATCAAAACTAGATGCAATATTTTTTTCGCTATGTCAAATGCATTTCAATAAATTTTATATCATAAATCAAAATAGTTTTATTTTAAATTCAGGT